AGTCTTTGTGTTGTACCTAGATTAGGTCTCCCACCTCAATTAGAGACAAACTTGTAGTTAATAAATTGTATTATTTTGCAGGGAAGATTTGGATCTAAAGTTAAATGTTTCTTAATGGGGAGGGTTTGATGGAGGACCAGTTAGACAACAACACACTGGGCCTCAGCCAAGGCCCATGACCATAAGGAGAAAAGAGGAAGAGGCCTAAGAGAGGACTCCTTCACTGGAACTTGCACTACTAATTAGTGTAAGTCTCATTTTCTATTTTTATTAGATTTGTAAAAATCTTATAAAAATTGTATAGGCTATAATTGTTTCTTTTCTTGTAAAATTAAGACTAGAAGGGACACATTTATCTTGGGCTAGCCATCATGGACCACCCCACACCTTGGGCGAGCCACTTGAAGGCTAAGAGCACTACTCCACTTGAAGGGTCAAGGTTCAATACTTGGTTACAACTTTAGAGAGGTTTCACATATATAAACACTTAGCGACCGAAATTTAGATGAGATGGGAATTGAAGGTGCGACGCTTGAAAAATAAAAATAAGAATCAAATCTTGACTACTACAAAAAGAAATACATCATTTCTCTCTTTTCAAATTCGGCCAAGCACTCCAAACACTCAAAAAGGTACAAGTTTCAACTCTTGGTTGCCACATTTGAGAGCTTTTTGGTATATAAAGACTTAAATGTAATTAAAAATGGTCAAGGTGAGACTTGAAGCTAAGAATAAGCTCAAATTTGGTACATAGCTTATAAAAGCGATTTTAGTCCCACATCCCCTAGGTGAATGAGTGGGTAAGATGGAAACATATAGAACCCCTTGTGTAACTTTTTGGTACATTGAATTTAATTAAGCGTTTCCTATCTCTCCTGTACAAGAAACCTTCCTTAGAGGAGTTAGTGCTGAGTTTCTTTAGGGGTTAGGGAATATTTTCTTAACACTTTAGGTGTTCATGGTGTAGGGTTGATCATGACTCTACTTTATGGATGGAAGAAGAAGGAAATTTCCATTAATCCACTCAAGTAAGGTCCCTTGAAGGGAGAGCCAGTTAAAAATACTCCCAAAATTGAACTAAAGAACAAGAAAGGGTATAAGCTAATTAGCAAGTCAACACACATAAAGTTCATTCATTCAAGTTGGAAAAAATACAAGCATGAGGGCTCTATTTATAGATGTTCCTCCTCTCCTCACTCATTATCCTAAGGGATGTGGAACTAATTTTCCCTTCTATACAAATTTTTGCATACCCTCCTTCAAGTCCCACATAGCACACTTTTATTTACATTTTAATATTTATAACAAAAATTCTCCCAAATGTTGTAACCAAGAGTTGAAGCTTGGACCTATTGTACGTGTGGACTCTCTTTGGCTAAAAATATGATGGAAAAGAGTGTTCTCCTTTTTATTGTGGCTAAATGGTGAACCTTGGCTCTTTAAGTGAGGAGTGTCGCTAGCCTTCAAATGGCTCACCCAAGTTATCTCCCAAGGGTGGGTGGGTTACTCAAAGTGTGGTGAGATCCATGTTGACTTGCTTAAGGTGAATAAGACCTATTTTACAAAGAAAAGAAATATTACAATTTTATGTAATTTTTTATAAAGTTAAGGAAGTGAAGAGGGAGTGTTTGAGATGCTCAAGGTATAAGCACTTATCCTATCTTCAAGCATGGGTTTCACATTTAAAAGTTAAAGAAAAAGTGCTTCAAGAATTTTTAATCCGTTAAACATTCTTTAATCTGTTAATTTTTCCTTTAGTAAATTTTTTAACTGGTATATTTTCAATTTAATCTGTTAGTTTTACTTAAATAGTCAAAGAACTTCATGGTTCATAGTTTTAATCGATTAAGGGTGGTTTTAATTTGTTAAAATGTTATTGGTTGAGTTTTGAAAAATATTGATTCACAGTTTTAATTGATACATGACCGGTGTTATTAGTTAAAATTTCTATGGAAAATTTTCAGAATTCTTTTAATCGATTAAATCACGTTATTATCCATTAAAATGTCTCTAGAAAATGGACAAAAACTTTTTAATTGATAAAATGACATTTTTATCAATTAAATCAACTTAAACTTGTTTTGCTGAAAATTGATTCTAATTATTTTAATCAATTAAATGATGAATTAACCGATTAATCCTATTAGTACTCCTCAGAAATTTCCTACATAAACAGGTTCTCTCCTTCATTTTGTTTCTTGTATTCTTGGTGTATGGAAGTTTGGACACTGGTGGGGCAACTGAAATTGTGGTTGCTGGTTTATAGGATCAAGAACTGGTTTGTGGTTCTTAGGGTAGCTTATGGATCTACTAGTTTCTGCTTGTAATCAAACTGAATTTGATTAGTGAAACTCAACTGGATTTGGTTGAGAAATGAATGTAACCCTGTGGTTTGGGAAAACCAATATAAATTCTATTGTTCTTGCTTTCCTTCTTTATCATATTCTTGTATTTGGGTTTGTTATCCTTTGTTTCAAGAAAAGATTGATTTCGTTTGATCTTGGAAATTGTTAATATGTAAAAGTTGTAAAAATATTTCAAAGATCAATTCACCCCTTATTGATCTTAGCCTGCATTTCTAACAAATGTTACCCTTTTCCATGGAATTTTTTCTACAAGAGATGAATGTTCGGTTCACTGATTAATAAAATTTGTATTTGTATATGTGATTGTTTAAGCTAAATCACTATTTTGTTAAATTGAAGTATTTCTAACAACAACTTTTTGTCTTTACCGCAATAGTTAGAGAAAATTATACTCTATTTGGACAATATATTGAAATAAATGCATTCTTAATTTCTAAAGATTTTCAAAATATTATCATTTATAAAAGATGGTATTTTATCTAAAACGATCATTTTTATTTGTAGTTTAAAGATTTTTTTTTATTTACTCTTCATTAAATATGTCAATACTTCAAAAAAGAAATCACTCCAAATCTGAAGTAAATGTTAAGAAAACTAGAATGTTTTTGCATGGTAAACATTCATGTTTTCCATGGAGTTGGTTTACAAGACATGAAAGTACAAAGTATAGTTGTTTATATAGCTCAATTTTTATGGTATAGATATGTGATGTTTATTATGATGCAATTTGTGTGCCGGGTATGAGAAAGAACATCTATAGATAATGTTACTCTATCTGGGTGTTTTGAATAAACAAGTAAAAAATTATAACTACTTGTCATATTTTTATATGTTCATTTTGTTGAAATTGATTGTGTCCATGTAAATGCTATAAACATATGTTATTTAATATATTCCAATTTGAATGTTAGGTGCGAGAAAGAACATTAGAAAAAAATATCTAGAGGTAATGTTATTATATCTTTTTTGTTTTGAATATTGAAAATGAAAACTAGAATATCTTGACAATAGTCATATGTCTATGGTACATTTTAGATTCTACTAAATAAAAATTACTTTTTTTTTGTGGAATTTATTCTACAATATATAAGGTTTGTTTCACTGAGTAATACATTTTTATTTGTATATGTGATTTCATATATTGATTAACTATTTTTCTTAAACTAAAATATTTCTAACAACATTTTTTTTCGTTGTTAGAATACGTGTTAAAATAAATGCATTCCTTTTTTTAGGAGATGTCCAAATATTTTTTATTTATATTATTTACTCTGCATTAAACATGTCAATACTGGAAAAAAATCACTTTAAATTAAAGGTTTAAACAGAAGCTAGAATATTTTGGTGATGTAAAAATTTCTCTTTTCCATGAAATTTTTTTACAAGAAGATAAAAATTATAGTTTTTTATGTTGTTCAATATTTATGGCATAAATATATGATGTTTATTATATTACAATATTAATGTAAGGTGTGTGGAAGTTTATAATTAATTGTTACATTTTTATTTGTTAATTTTATTGAACTTGATTGTGTCATTGTAATTGTTATGAATACATGATCTATATTATATTTCATTATTAATGCAGGGTGTGAAAATGAACATTAGAGAAAACATTTAAAGTTCTATCTTGGTGTTTTGAATAAATAAAAGAAAATTATACATGTTTGTCATATTTCATGTCCATGTAACTATTATAGATATGCCATGTTTACTATATTACAATATGAATGCATGGTGTGAAAAAGAACATCTACAGGTAACATTATTATGTTTTGGTATTTTGAATAGACAAGTAGATAAATTATAATGACTTTTCATATTTCTATATGCTCATCTTGTTGAAATATCAATAAATAAAATTCGACGGACATTCTAAGTGTTAACATGTGTTGGAACCAAGTTGAACAAAATGACAAGAAGATAAAACTAAACATTATTTGTTCAAAGATTATTGAGTAAGACGCACAAATTGTTTCAATTGAATCATTGGAGTATTTTTAACAACTTTTTTTTTTTCTTTCGTGCAATAATTTTAATATTGTATTCTATTTAGACAATATGTTAATGAAATACATGGATTCTTAAATTTTGAAGATATTCAAAATGCTATCTATAAAGGATGATCTTTTGTCTAAATTAATCATGAAGTGTTTTTATTTGAAGAAGATTTTTTTATTAATTATTTACTCTCCATTAAATAGGTCAATAATGTAATTTTGAAGTAAATGCTAAAAAAAGAAAAATATAATATTTCCAAGATTTTTTCATGAAAGATTTTTTACAAGACATGAAGGTAGAAATAAATTGTTTTATCTTGTTCAATTTTATGGTATAAATATGTGACATTTACTTTATTGCAATATGGATGTATGATGCGGGGAAAACATGGGAAAAATCACCCAAAGGTAATGCAATATCTTGGTGTTCCAAATTAGTAGAAAAATTATAACTATTTGTCATATTTCTATATGTCCATTTTATTGAACATGCTTGTGTCATTGGATTAAATGATTAGGCTCTTTTTTTTTTCTTGATAGGAAATTGAAATATCATGAGATCTTGAAAATTTTTGGACAATATTTTAAATGCACCCCCAAATCCTGAGCCCTTGTTTGCTTCCATTAATGCAATTTAGTGGAAGAATGAGGGAGTTGATATGAGGGTATCGTGCATGTTTGTATTTGTTGATTTGCGTTTTAAGAGGAAAGGGAGATAGTTAAATGATATTGTCTCTCCAAACTTGCAATAAAATGTAAAGAAATTGAGGCTAATTACCATGTTGCCTTGTATAACTTTTGTCGCATGGTACACATGTGCACATGTAGAGATTGTCGCTCTACATCACTTCAGGATTCCTTTGTACCAAGACAATGCATGCTCTAACGATGAACAACATACCCACGAGACATAATTATAAGGCTTGTTATAAACACACAACTACACCCGAGACTAAGACACCACTATGACTAACTTGCGCGTTACATGAACATTGGCCTTCACCATTCACCCATTGAATGCTCTCGTGAACCATTTGTATTAAGTTATATATAGACTCATTGGTTGAACTATGTGCATTGCGTGTTCACTTCTCTAGTCCCACCATCAAATTTGTCATTAAGGTTGACAAGGAAGAATAAGAGTTATCCCTTACTCCATCATTAACCCACTCCTATTCAGTTTTTTTATCCTTTATCTTGTACAATTTAAATGTTGATTTGAGTAATTTAAGATGTCAATTTGTTTGTGTCATGAGTTTGTTGTTGAATTATTGTTTGAATTGGTTATAAATTATGTCATTGTTACAGATGTGAAAGTCGAAAGCATAATCAATTATATTGGCTTCTATAATCGATTATAATCCAAGACATAATCGATTATGATGGACAACATAATCGATTATGTTCGACTACATATTTGATTATGTATGACAGTATAATCAATTAGCTACTGTTCATAATCAATTATGGACGCACACATAATCAATCATATGCGTCTTTATATGTTGGTTTGTCACATTGAAATTTGATGGTGTAATTTAAAATTTTGTTAAAATATTATAAAGAAATGTAGATCCCAAGTCTTGTTCAGCTTCCTAATAAAGCCATAGATAGCCCGTTTCGAAGATGGTCAAGACTTTGTTAAGTCCCTAGTAGCTTTTTCTAGGCTCTATTTAAGATAGGAAGGGTTTTCAAATGCAATAAAAATAAAAATTTCTGTCAGAAACAGCGGATGGCCGTCCAGGACAATCAGACGGTCGTCCATGCCTACTTTAAGGCAATGAACGACCCTCCACTTAGCCCAGACGGCTGTCCATGACAATTTTTGGAGGTCCAGACGGTTGTCCACTTTTTCCTAGTACAGTTCCTTATAAATAGGAGTCTCATTCCTCAAATTTTTCACACCTCTCCACTCCTACACTCTCTAGGAAGCCTTTTGAGAGTGACTCTGAGCATTAATCCAGAGTTCGAGTGAGCTTTCCCATTTCTGTCTAAGGTAGAAATCGGTTAAGGAAGTCTCCTTTTGAGATGTCCGACCCTCGATAGGGTGATACTTTTATTTTTTGTTCGAGGGAAGAGTGACTCTGTAAAGTGTGAGGACTGCCAAAAAGCGTCCTCAAGTTTGAGATTTATAAAAGCTCGCTTCGGAGGTTCTCCTTCATATCTCTTCTCTTTTACTACTTTCCTTGTATGCATTAGATATTAGGATCATGTAGAAATTTAAATTCTGCAAGTAGATAAAATATAGGGTAAAAACATAATTTCTTTAAGTATTTATTTTATAAACTAGTTCATCATAAAGAATTTGAAAGAGGCGTTGTGAGGTGCTAACACCTTTCCCACACGTAACTAATTCCCTTACCCGACTTTGGTTGTAATGGTCAAAGTTGGTTTTTTTTAAACCAATGCCTTTTTCCCTTTTTCAGTGTTTAAGGTTAAAACACCGGTGGCAACTCCATAGAACTTTTTTCAAAAATCCTTAATATCAGTCTGGTTATCGGACATCTTAAGAATGTCGACCATATTTATAAAAAACGTGAGTCAAGCAAAACTATCGCGTCGCTCCGATTGCCTCATCTAACTAGTGGTGATAAGAAACATTAGTTGTGATTGATGCGTTGCAAGTGTTACGATTATTATAAAAATTAGGTATGTATTTTTAGGTAAGTAATTATAAGAGTAATTGGAACTAAAAAAAACAAAATTTAGTTGGAAATAATATAAGAAATTTTTTGAAGTTATTATTTAGGATGAAGAGTTAAGTAAATAAATTAATAGTAAATAATGATGAAAGTTAGATAATTATTTATAAGTAATTAGTTGTAACAATGCATTAAATAATATTTTAAGAAAATAATCAGAAGAATATTTTTTAAGTAAATAGTTAAGGATAGGGGTAACTTATTAATTTTTAAGTAAATAATTATAAAAGTTTGGTAACTATTATAGGTACGTAATTACAAGAATTATTGGAAGTATAAATAATTTTGATGTGAAAAAAATTAAAATTATAGTAAATACACTTTATTGATTTTAGGGTATAATTATTTACTTAATTGTTTTACTTTTAATTTAAGGTTTAATTATTCATTTAAGACATACAAAATTAATATAATATTTAATATTTAATGATAAGTTTATTATTATCATTATCCATAATATAGTAAAAGTAATAAAAGTAAAATATTTTATGTACATAGAAATTATTGTTTTACCATGGAAAATGGAAACGAAGATTATATGAAATTAGAAAACGAACAATAAATGAGTATTAATATTGTGGGGATGGACATGAACATAATGTCATATTCAAGAGTATAAACAATAACTTGTGAAAGTTGAGACATTAACGATACTATGTAATGTTTCCCATGCATTATATAGATATGATGTTTAACACCAACATCAATACTAACTTGTTAGGTCCTAAAAAACTTGTCGTCAATGTGAGTTGATATCTTATCTTGTGCATTTAGAATGATGTCCGGATATTATTTGCATGAAACTTGAGGCACTCATACAATTGTGTCAATGGATAAGAGCATTTGATTGGTAAAAGATATGTATAGATAAAAAATAGAAGAACAAGTGACTAAATTTTTACACATCTTTAGGCAATAATGTTAAAAATTGAACTATGTCATTTTTTTTCATCGATCTAGTAAGACTGTTAGTCGATATTTCCACAACGTATTGAGTGTCATCATTGAATTGGAGGAATAATTTTATGTTTAATCCTAAAAAAGGGAGGTACAATCACATATCTTTAACAATACTATATTTTACCCATATTTTAATTATTGTCTAGGGTGTTTAAGTTAAGGTATCGCAATTAGATGTTCCTCGTTTTCGTGATAGAAAAGATTGATCAACCTAAAATATTTTTGCAGCTTGTGATTTTGACATAAAATTCACATGTCTTAATATGATAGGAAGGAACTGCAACTGATTCTAGGATTTTAAAAGATGCCTTAACAAGAGAGGATATTTTGATAATACTCAAAGGTAATGAAAATTCATGAAGCTCAACATTTATTCATTAAATTTAAGGGTTGCATTACTAAGTACTTTAATTTTTTTGTAGGCAAATATTACTTAGGAGATGCAAAGTTCATGTTAAAAGCTCAAATTATTACTCCATATCGAGGGTTTAGGTAATACCTAAAAAAGTATTCACAAAGAGGTCCTATAACCCCCGAGAATGATTTCATCATTGTCATTCTTCATTAAGAAATATAATTGAAAGAATTTTTATGGTTTTGAAAAAAAAAAATTCTCTATCATAGCAAGTGGTACTAAACCCCACTATTCTTTTGAAACATCAAGGAATATAAAGCATGTTGTATTTTGCAAAACTTTCTATGTGCAGTAGACAATGATGAATTGTTTATGGATAAAGTGGATCAAGAGTTGTTGGAGTGGCAAGACGATAGGCCTGCAAAACAAGTTTACGAGGATGATTATAAATAAGGGGATAACTTGAGGGATATGATATTAAATCAAATGTGGATTGACTATCAACAATAAAACATACGTGTAGTTTATTTTGTTTAATTGTACTATATGTGGTGTATGAGAAAATATATATTTTAATATTATGATTGATTCTATATTTTAAAATTTGTGCCATATATAAATTCAAACAATCTCAACTCTAATAAAATTACCATCTTAAGATTGACACAAGGTAGCGTAAATTAGCTATTGGTAGGTTCCCAATGAATAGGGGAAAAGGACAAGTTTAACCTAGTCAAGATGTGCTAGAATGTACAAAGTGGACTTAAGATATAGATCTTCAAATGCTAACAACCATGATTGATGAGACTCAACCTAGGAATAGGATAAGTAGAAGTTGGAATAGACAAAACCTTAAAGATCGATGGCAGGTTATACTGACATAAACAAGAATAACACGAAAATAGGCAAAAAAACCTTAAAGATCAATGGCGGAGAAGTACACAATTTGTTTAGTGGCCTCAGTGGTTTTGCTTGGAAGGAGTCCACAAGAAGATTTGAAGTTGAACCTAAAGTCTTGAATGACTTGATTAAGGTATTGCATTGAATTATATATTTTAACATTTAACTGTAACAGTGAAGGTTGCGACAATGGTTGTTAATGTTTTTTTTTTCAGACAAAACCGTTTAATGCCAAATGACAAGTTACCCCAATTAAGTTTTATGACTTGTTAGAAGAATTGTGGGGAGTTAATCATGCACCAACCACATGATAGGACTACATGCCAAGTTCGTAAACGTAGGGTTTTTTTAATGGGATGTAGCCTAGTCCATCATGTATGGATTCATACAGTCTAGGAGTCTCTCTATTTGTCCCTTCTCCCCATTCTACAAGAAGGTCTTTATCAAGGGGCTAAAAGATAAAAGTCAACAGGTCGATGTAAACTTGAATGTGCAGTTTGGATGTATGAGAACAAAGATAGACCAACTAGTGGATAACATCGGTGAGAGTAATAAATATTCTACAAAATTAGCAAAGGTGACTGAACGTCAATGTGATCTTGTAGAACCTTGAGTTATTATTGTGAAGTATTAGGCCATGATCATGGAAAGACAAACTGACTTGAGGAGTGAACAAGTCATGATTCAAAGAAGTTAAGCAACATTGCAACATTCAGCTAATGATATTTGACAATTGTTATTCCAATGCATGATAACCAATTGATTTTACACAATGTTATGAGTTTATTTGCTGAAACCCCATCCATCTTTGTATGCTTTTTGTCATGCCACCAGAGTTATAACTAAATTATGTACTGAAACACATAACCAGTGGAGGATCATCTTAGTTGATTTATGACTTTTTATTTGTTTCATAATGTTGTTTTAAATATTTAAACTATGTTTGCTGGAACTATGGAAAAATTATTGTACTATGTTTGTGGGTACTAAGTTAATGTACTATGTTTATTAGTGTTGTTCAACATATGGTAACTTCATATACAATTTGTAAAATATTGTTTAATTGTTCCATGTTTGATTGTCATGTTTATGTTTCATTATTTTATTTATATTTTAA